GATTAAGCAGTTGAGTCATTGTCTTTGTTGTAGATGAAATCAGTCTGGAGGGGATGGTGGTGCACCGAGCTGAATGCAGACCAGTCGTCACTGACAGCTACATGAAGCTGAAGAAGTGAGTGAATGCTGAAATTTCTCTTCCAAATGCTGCAGTTTGAAAGCTGTTAAATTCATCTTGCATGAGATGATGTAATCCCCAAGACTTAAACATTACAGTGGTTCTTATTGCAGTTGATTAGAATAATATACAGACGGAAAGGAGAGTTAGGAACTCTATCAAGGAGGTAGGTGTATCATTGTCACATTCTACAACCAAGAGATGCCTTCAAGAATGGAAATACAGAGAGTTTGCAGCAAGGCACTACAAGCTGGTTACACTCAAGAAGTCCAAATTAGACTTTGCCAGAAAACATCTAAAAACAAAGTTCTGGGAAGAAAAAGAAAAAAAGATGAAGCCACGATTAACTTGTACTAGAATTAGGAAAGAGAAAAGTATGAAGAAAGATGGAAACAGGTCAAACCATGTCATCTGTCAAACATGCTGGCACGGGCATGTACGTGGCTGCCATTGGAACCGGATCACTGGTGTTTATTGATGACAGGCCTATAATCTCTGCTCAGGTTCAGAGCAAATAAGTTGAAGGCATTAGATACAAAACTGAATGCAGAAAAAACAACAAACAAGCGGCAACTGAAGGTGGCTGCAGCAAATCCCTGGCAGAGCATCTTATCTCAGAACACGGCAACTGATTGGTGGTGTCCCTGGGTTCTAGACTTGATTGTATGAAAAACAATCCTCATGTTTAAAATTCTGTTAGTTTGCCTAATTACTTTATATTACTGTATAAAAATATAAAAACAGTCGCTGCAAGTTCAGGGAAGTCGGATACATTGTGGTCCATCAAACGCAGATATTTTAGAGGTGCACTGGTAACAAAGTATGACATTTGGAGAGCATCAAACACAAATGTACGTCAAACACACAAAGCAGTAAGGGTGTTATTTGTTGTTTTGGAAGCGTGCTGTTGAATTAGCTTCTTTCACCCCTGAAAAGCACAAAATCTATTCAAGTGTTGTGAATTAATTCCAGCGTGAGTAGACAAGTTGGCAGCGTGTTGACAGGATCACGACTGCAACTGTTAATTTGTGTACACTAAACACTCGAGTCCACTCTGGCTGTTTTTTTGGGGGGTTTTTTTATTTTATTTTTTATTTCCGAACTGGTTTCTGTCTCCTCTTCATTGGATTATGTTATTCCAGCCAGAGTTGGAGGATGGCATTGCTATAGCAACAGCATCACTGTGGCAGATGCACTGCTACAATCCAACCAAAGGCAAACACAAAACACAGCAGTGTGTGAGACGCTTCCTCTGTCGACCATCAAATCAGCGAGGCACATTAGAACTAACAGAAAGCACCTTGAAAACTGAAGTGCAAAAAAGCAGTCTTACGTCCTCTGTCCCTAACATGGCCGGCGTGTGTTCATAACAAAGCTGAGATCCTCCTTAGACATTACAGGATGGCAGTATTTATCTAACACAGAGCACGGAGCGAACTTAGATCTGTCTGATTTGTACTTCGACACAAACTTGAGAAGAAAATTCTTCACTTTTGGATCCAGTTTTTTAATCTCCCAGCAGCTGACAAATGGCCCTCCATCATTTCAGGCTACAGGATAATGAAGGACATTATGTTGTCATGGTGGCGTCTGTGTGTGTGGACACAATTCAAGAATAGTTTCGCTACATTTTCAAGTGATTATATGAAGCTCTTTGCTACCTTTTTCCGGTACATTAGTGAAAATATTCAATCGAATAAATGTATGCATTAGATCTAATTAGATCATTATTGGGTTTATTTATAAATGGGGAGGACAATCGGCTTCGCTAATGGCAGCACTGAAGCAGGAGTGCTTGTGGCCAATATCAGTTATCACAGTGATTATGGCAGGACATCAGGGAGGCAGAGTGCTTTGCTGTTTGATTTGATGGTCAAACTATAATAAAAAATGTGAGTCAAGATTAATGAAAGTCAAAAAAATTAATAAATAGAAAGCAGGATATCTTCAAGCAAAGCAGCTGCCATTACTTGTTTGCTTAGCTCAAGCCCAAGGTGATGACAGTTGTGTTTTGTGCCAACAGGCCAATCTGTCAGCTGAGATCACATTAGACGTTAGAGCACAGATGATAGAGGAAACTTTCTCTGTGTGTGTGTGTGTGTGTGTGTGTGTGTGTCAGATTGCAGATTAAAGAGTCCATCAAGCCTCAGCGTTTGTCACAGCAGCTGGAGAGAGCCGTCACCACCATCTTCAAGCCTGTGGCCAACCATGATTTCAATGTGAGAAATAATATCAGCAGTCCTTGCATGCATGTGTCTGTAACTAGTTTGACTCATTGTATCACTTGTTTGATAAAATGGTTTTAATCCTGTAAAGTCTGGTGCAAAGTGCAAGAAAAGTGCCAAAAAAAAGAAGAAATTGAATATTAACGTGTATATGTGAGTTTTTATTTGTATTACTGTTTGCTGCTCACAGTAGCAGGGCAAGGAAAAAATACCACTGTTGATGTAGAGGTCTTAAAAACTCATGGATCTAATATGATACACTATAAGCTGTTGTGCTGACGTAATGTTGCCAGCTGCGAGGTCGTCTTTCATAAAGTAACTTAAAAGTCTCTCTCAACGAGAATGAATCACATCAAACTTCAGACAGCACAGTTTGAAATGTATTAATGACCCAGTCTTCATTCACACAAGCAGATAATAATTTTCTTTGTGTTTTCTTTAATGCATTTTGATCTTCTAATGGTTCGCTTGCTGAACTTGATTCTCCATCAGCACCTTTACTTTTCAGTATTAAGTTCTTTCCCAGCTAAAGACAAAATATAAGATGAGTTCAGGAAGGAACTTTTTTTTGTTTTTTAATTCCTCAGCTTTGTTGTATTTGTTCAGTTCCATCTTAAAATATAAATATTTCATGGAAATTTTAAACTAAATTACTAAAAAATAGCTAAAAATGCATTTTATAAAAGTGCATCTTATTGCATTCTTTTACAGGATTAAGGGGAATTCTATTAAATTATATTTTTATCTATTATAAGTTTTGGAAATTTTACAGGAACTGTTTGTATCCAGATCTTTCACGTGTTAGGTGAATGTCTTAACCACTACGATGTGCTAAAAAAGGTTAAATAGTTCAGTTAAATTTTTTTTTAAAATAAACAAGACTTCTCGTTTCCCACCTGCAGTACCTTCACGGCCCACCAAGAAGTTGCAGCCCACACTTTGCGAATCACTCGCCTGTATTTAAAAAAAAAAACCCACACACACATATATATATATATGTGTGTGTGTGTGTTGTTGTGAAGACCTGTGTATGTTTTTTGATTCGCTACGATAACACTGGGAAAATGCACCACCTAGCAAACAATATGTGTTTGTATATATATATATATATATATATATATATATTGTGTGTGTGTGTGTATATATGTATATGTACTTTTTGTAATGTAACCTCCTGAAGGGAATAATTATGGTATGAAAGGTATTTTACCTTCTGTAGGTCACAATTTTATTCATATTTTAAACTAACAGGTTTTCATAGACTGTACATAAAAGATGGACATCCATTGGCTTGTGATGTCCATTTGAGTGTTTTGATCATAACCATTTAACTTTGATTGGTGAAACTTGGATCACAGCATTTCAACAAAGCATAATCCGCTTTATTGGTTAAATTAGAAGATTTTACTGGAAGAAAATCATTCTGTATTAAGGAAAATTTAATGAGCAACAAAGACTTAATAAAAACCTGTTTAAGGTTTTAAGATTATTTCTTCAGGTCAAGTGACCAGTCAGGTCATTTCCTCATAGTTATTTTTGCAGCCAAAAAAGTCGCCCCCTGCTGGCCGTTTGAGAGAATGCAAGTTTAAGCTCCACTTTTGCATTTTTCAGATACAGCCGCTAGACCCATCTGTGATCTGTATTTTCTGTGGTCTTCCAGGTTAATTGCCTCTGGCTCATTTTCCCCTTTGGTGGGGTTAATTAATGGTGATATGACCTCAGAACCTGTTCCAAGATAACAACAAGGTGCTTCCAGGTTTAGGTCCTAGACTTTGGCTTTCAGTAATGCATTTTGGTTCAGTTTGAATTCTATGTGAAAACTGAACAAGCCAAGGGGGGAATGCAACAAGTGTGCCATCAGTTGCTGATTCAAATCAGGAGAAAACAGTCAGTGCACAATTTTTGGTGTTTAAATCCAACTGAAATGATCTTAGCTGTCTTTAGTCTGGCTATATTATATAGTATTTTCACTGTCATTAATGTTACTGTCATTAGTTTTAATACTGAGTTTGGGTCTAAGGTGGAGTATGAGAAGAAAAAGAAGACTGAAGGGAAGATGGTGAGAGCTGAACGTCAGCTCGTGTTGGACATGCTCTTCTCGGCCTTCGAGAAGCACCAGTATTACAACATTAAGGCGCTGGTGGACATCACCAAACAACCTGTGGTGAGCAGCGTGCACGCACACAAACCCATGTGAAACAGGCAACATGTACACACACTCAAACATGCACACATGCAACAGCATCACTGTAAAAAGCATTAAAAAAAACAATACACCTGCCCACTATCCACCTTGCTTTGTTAAATTTGAACAAATCGCCCACGGTGTGACGTTCATGCCTGTTCACACTATCTGTTGTGGCTGAAATTTGGGCCAACGTGTGCACACACACACGCACACATGGCATGAATCGATACAGTGCAGTGGATTCGTTCCAGCACGCAGTGAACAGAAATGTGTAGGTGCTGATGAGACCTTTAGGTCCTCCTCTCCCTCTGATTGCATCTGATTGCATAACCAGTGGCTGAGTAGGAGTCAAACGCCCCAATACACTCCACACCATCATTTCTCTCCTAAAGCACTTGGCTAGCACTCAAATTAACTGAACTAAAGTAACCGAAATGCCCATTATGAAAAGTCTTGAAGCACATTACGGTTATTCATCAGTTGGCGGCCACGTCTTTACAAGCTCAACAGAGACACCTGCTGGTCATTGCAGAGGATTGTCTGATCTACCAAAGAGTAGCCCCTGCTTGTGAGTTCATGCCTGCTGATTAAACCAAAAGTCAATGTTAGCGCATGATTTAAAGTAAGAAGAAACAGCTTTTTGGCCACTTGTTTCAAATAATGAGTCAGTGTATGTACTTGTTTGATATGATCCTTAAATAAGTTTGTTACAATTGCAACAGTATGCTACAGGTGCTTTTGAAAAAAGAATTAAGGAAAAGCATATCAGGTCCACTCTTAACCCTCTGACAGCTAAACCAGGGTTGTTTTTGTGCCTAAAGGGGAATTTTTTGTTCCTTGCCTTTTTTTTTTTGGTTGTTTTTTGTTTTTTGGGTTTTTCCGTTTGCTTGGGTAACCTACTACGTATTTGCCACCCTGTCATATGTCAATCAGTGGCAGTTTTCCTGAAGACACTTCAGTCGCTTACCTTGAGGTTCAGAAAAGTTTGACTCGGTACCCACAAACTGCAGCTATTTCTGTTCTGTTGTCAGTTGAAGTTGCTGATGTCATCTGCTTTTTGTGGTTTCTAGTTTCTGCTGTTCGCTTCCTGCGTGAACGCCCCTGAACCAAGAAATGGATTATACCTAACCTTAGACTAACTACCTCTACCAGTGGAGCTCTTTTTAGTACTCTGGGAATATACTTGATCCATAACTGAGGGGAAAAAAAGGACACCGGAAGCCAGAAATCTCATATTCTTATAGCATAGAGTGATTGTGGAAACAGATCGGTGATTTATTAGACCCCACAATATTTCCCCTGTGGATCTCAGGGGAAATTTTCTAAACAGTGGTCACCACCATAGTGGCTCGGGTCCATCATGAGGAGATCGAGAGACACGCTCTCTCTCATATGCGCTGGGTTTCCTCACAGTTCAACAGCTCACCTGGGAGGGGCCATAGACACGTGCCTAAATCACCTGAGCTGGCTTCTTTGGATGCGAAGAAGTTGTGGCTCTTCTCTGAGCCATTTGTGAGCTCCACACCCCTGTATGTGGGACGGCCCTCCTGTGGAACCACAACATGCAGGAAGAGGCACGTGGATTTGGAGTATTGTGGATCAGGCAGCAGACAAAGGCAGGGAGTCAATCACCAGCTCCCAGTAGTGTCCTATACTAATAACTGGTACTTAAAGATAAATATGAGGCCAGTACCGGTTTAGCAACTGGTTTAGAACAAGCACAGGAGAAAGTGGGTGTGAACTGAAAAATGAAGGTGCAATTTTGTCTTTGTGTGGGTTAAAGTAACAAGGTGCAAATGTTTGCTCTTTGTGCTCAGTTAGTTACAAATTGTCCACCAAATCATGCAACACATCTGTTTAAATGCACCATGTTTCAAGCTGCTTCTTGTGTCTGGCACAGACCTACCTGAAAGAAATCATGAGGGAAATCGGCACATACAACAGCAAAGGCGTTCACAAAAGCACCTGGGAACTGAAGCCGGAGTACCGACACTACCAATCTGACGAGGAGGAGATGCAGACCACCTAGGCCGAGCCAGAGTCCACTGAAGTATCTTCTGGGCCTCAAATTTGCAATAAATTTGTTTTTTTATGTTGACAGAATTATGGGGAGAAAAAGCTTTGTGTGCACTCAAACATAACTAATATGGCACGATGGTGTAAAATCTTTATTTTTGTGGTAGGATAAATTTTTGTGTATTCCAAGAAAGAAATAAACGTCCTCTGCTGAGGAAAACAAAGGTTAAGGGGCAAACTGGCTCAAAACTTCTAGTAATGCTGCCTCTTTCTAGGACTGTTACTATGGCAACTGTGAACAGCCTTAAACAATGAATTACACCAGCTGCTGCTGCTGGTCTGACTGCACCCCAGCTATTAAATGTGTGTCAGCGGGTCTCATTCCCATTAGTTTCAAGTGAGATCAGGAGTGAGCACAACTTTTTTTTCTCCTTTTTTTTTTTTTTAAAGCCATGCAATTCGGTTTTTGTAATTAACAAAAGTATTAACTCTTCTGTAACCAGCTTATTTTTTCAAAATGTGATCTCATCTTCACACAAGTCACAAGTATAGACAAACACACTTTAATAGAATTATTGTCTTTTACTTTTCCCTCTTTTATTTTCCCCCACCAGCACAGTGCAAAGCAGTTCTGCTTTGGTTGCTTTTGAGGTTTGAGACCCTTTGAAAATGCCACATAACAGCAGTTGGGGTAACATCCATGGGGAAGAAGACAAAAAAAAACATGTTTGCGAATCCTTGGTGGATTTCTTCTGATAACCTCTCTCTTAGCTCTCAGCTTGGCAGTTTTGTGGTACCATGACAGTGCCAACTCTACATTAAGAGCTGCTAGTGTGTTGGTGTAGAAGAGAAGAGTTAAGTTACAGTCCAGACACCCTTCAGAGAGAACAGATTTCCCCTGCTTATACCCTCAATCTCCTTTAATTCACTGCCCACAGCTCATGGCTGTGGGTGAGGAATGAAGATGTACAAGTCAATTAACAGCTCTGCTTTCACACTTACTGCATCATCAAAAACAAAAACATGGGTGCAGTTTGTTTTAGAAATGAAGCCTATGTATTAGTCTTAAATATGCATTCTGTATGAAGGCCACTAGATGGTGATAGCTGTGATTGCAGACATTACCAATCCTATAGAAGTCTACAGGAAAACCTTTTGTCTTGTCAAACCTTGCAACACGTGTCAGTTTCTTTAAAAGACAGTACATATGGTTTATTTAAGGTTATCATCTAGTTGAGACTAAAGACCACCTTAGATAAACTTAACAAATATATTTGATGTCTGTGCTGTCCTAACAACCAGGTAATTTGATAGTTAGCTACACACGTTTCTTTGTACTGCAGTCCTTCAGCAATGGATTAAACTGCAGATCACTAGGCTGCTCTGAATCACTACTGTAAAACTATGGATGATCAACATAAATTAAGTCATTAATAAAATTGGTAATTATGTATTGAAATTAGAAATTGATATTTTATTACTGACATTTAATGTCACTAAATTTGGCACTTGTTGCCCTACATATTACCTTCACACATTTAACACCAATCTCATCAGCAACTCCTCATTCAGTAAATTGCATTCAACATACACCCGAGCTTGGGTCAACAGCCGCAAGCACTTTAGTTCACTCCTGAACAACCTCTGTACTACCAGCTCTAGTCGTTCTACTACTAATTTGTGTTTATTCATTACTTTGTATGGCAGCATCTTTTCTTGAATTTCGCTTTTATACATAAGACTCCTTTTATACATGAAGCTCACACATTACATTGCCAGCAGCTACTGGCTGTGACTGTTCTGCACTTCACAAAAATCTGAGAATCAAAAAGGTGAATGAGAAAACCCAAGGACAACTGCACATGAGATCAGCTTGTCAACGCTACAAAAGCATCTTTTCAAGCAATTCAAAAGGGATATTCTGAAATCCAACCTACAAACTGCCTCTTTGCAGCACCAGAAGTGAAGCTTGACACAGAAATGCAGAGAAATGAAATGGAAAGTTGTGGTACTCGTTTTTATTCATTTTCAAATTAAACCATAAGTCTTTTTTGTAGATGGAATCTTATTTAATGCAACCACAAACCCAAACTCAAAGGGGTCTGGTGATGCCAACCTGTATGGATTGTTGCTAAAACAGTATGCAGACAGAAGGAAAACAAACGTCTTCTTTCAGCCAGTCAGAGCTTTGCTCGCTGTCCAAGCCTTTTTGTTTCAATCACAAAAACTGGGCCAATCCTGGGACAAAAATCAAACACTCCAAAAGCCAAAAAAGAAAAGGTTAAAAACTGTATTTGGTGACTAATCATGTTTGATTCACCCCCCAGGTTTGGGAGCGGTTCTGTGGGCCGTAATGTGAATATTTAAGAAATTGGACAATGTTTCTGTTCAGGCATGATGCAAGGTAGTGCTCCTCCAGTCTGCTTTGTAGGCCATTTTGGAAGCAGCAGTCAGGTGAACAGCAGATGTAATTCCAGGTAGTTACTGTTTGAAAGAGAGAGGAACAGTGTGTAGTTATTAAATTTAACCATCTACACCCAAGTGGACAGCAGGCATGATTTTACAAACACGGAACATTCATTTAGAAATCCAGACTGAATTAGTGTGTACTGTGGCATACTGATGTTCTCCAGCAGAAACACTTTGTAGTTTGAGAACTGTATCAAGTCTTTCCCACTTCATAGCACTTACGCATTTTTCGATCTCCAGGCCATCTTTGAAGAAAAGCATGAATGGTGTGATGCCATCCTCACGGTAGTCCAGCAGACCAACCATGCCCTCTGGGTTCATGGACTCTCCTGTGAAAAACTGCAAGCAAACAGCAACCATTAGATCTTCCTCTCAGTCGTACAGAAAGTCTTTCATTAAAAAAAGAAGTTCAGATTACAAAGATTTGCAACTCTTAAACCCATAATTTATTCACAGTAGAACACAGAAAATGCCCAATTTTTAAAACTAATAAAATCTAATTTCAAATTTGGCAGCTTTTCTTGAATTTGATGGCAGGGACAAGTCTCCCCATCACCCCCAAATGTTCCTTCATTGAGTCTCAGATTAGGTACGTTTTATTAACAAGCTTCGGGATGCTGGCTGTCAGCCACAGAACTGACATGTTTATTTCAAACAAGCAAGCTGGTTAAACTTGTCTTTTTGACACTACTTGACATCTAGACTGGGTGCTGCTGTTAAGTATTCACACTACGTTACCACACACAGTCTATAAAGCTACAAACTGACAAATGATAGAGGCAAATCCACCTCCAGGATGAAAACATTAGCAATTGATGATGACTCACAAAAGAAAAACCTGTCAGCTGAGATTCTCCCATAAACTGAATTCTCCTGGTGCCAACATGGTTATTGCCACAGTTTTCAGAGCTTCAGCTGCCTGATTCAACTCAAGTGTTGTATAGACACACACTCCGAAAGTGACATGCAGGCCTTCCTACAAGACTTGAAAATGTCACTCAGACTCAAATTCCACCCATTGTCTACACTCCTCACCCTTCCCGTTGGCTTTTAAGGGTTTCCAAAAATACTGTAGTTACTGTATTCGCAAAGCAAAACTTTATATTTGGTGTGAACACTGTTTAAAATGCCATTTCATCTCTGTATAGCTACCTGGTAGTTCTTGATGTTTCCCAAGATTTTCTTGACTTCTGGTTGGATGTCAGCCATAAAGCTCTCCACTCTATCTGGTTTGGTCTCTTGCAGCTTGGCTTTAACACTAGACATGCAAACAGACACGTTCACTTAACAGAGCTGAAGAGCATTCAAAACCAGAACTCCTCCTCACTGGCACATCAAGCTACTCACGCCTTCACATAATCCTTAATGTAAGTCATGTACTGCTTCTTGTCAAAGCCCGTCTCCTGCAGTTTGTGGTTCAGGACGATGTCGACACCGGAGATTGTGGAAGACTCGTTGCCCTCGGTTGCTTCCTCGGCAGAAGCGTTGGCTGCAATTAGAGAATCATCGAACCCTTCTGTCCTGGTGACGGTCTGTAGTTGAGGAGAGGAAGAAAAAAAGAAAAAACAATTATTACTGGTGCATCATAGCAAGGGCAATAGTAAATGACTGGGAAATACCAATAGATCAGTTGGCCTCATATTGAGTATTTTTGAGCCATTTAAAAATGTATAACTAACAAGAACAGCCGGCTGAATTAAATGTCGTAGCCTGCAACAGTTTCCCAACCTCTTCGAGGCTAAACCTCATTACTATAGTATTCGTCATTATACCTGAAGCCCAGTTTATCTGTTGCATTTATGTACTTAAGGGAAAAAAAAGAAAAAAAGAAAAAAAAAAAGCACACACATAAATACAGGCCTTCCTCATATACATCTTAAAATTTACAACAGGATATTATTTAGCAAAACCGTGATCTGCCATCCTGATCCGAATGGCGTCTTTTTTTGTTTAAACCTAAAAATGTTACTTTTTTTATTAACTTAAAAACAAAGCTTTATTTAAGTATTTGCTTGGAAACTACTTCACCAAATTTCATTGACTAATTTTAAAGTATGCTTAAAGACAAACACCAAGCTAACATGATACTTCAAACTGTTCTAGCATTTAAATTTTTTTTTGTCTGATTCTGAGGCAGGTCGAGGACCTTGTAGTTACGCTATTGGAGACCTGCAACTATGAGTCATCTTCAGTCATAGTCAATATGACGTCATGGAAGTACAGCCAGAAATCACATGACTCACTCCAAAAAACATCTACCAATCTACTTTAAACATAGGTAGTGGCCCATCCTGAATAATAATACAAAAGCTGTAAGAGAAATTACAAAACTGGGGAATAAATTTAGAGCGTAGTAAGAGCGTACGCTTTATTTGTCAATTACCATATGATCGCGTCCCGGTGTTTTAGATGCAAGCTCAGCCAAGACAGAAACAAATAAAATGCTAGTACCTTTATTTTTTCCCCACCCCCCTTTGTGGTCAGCTTTCCCCACCCCCATTTTCTCTTTTTGGGTGTGTGTGTTGGTATTTGTCCCTCAAATTCCAATTGCTTTGTTTACAATAAAGAGTTATCTTACATATCCATTTCAACAGCTTTAGCAGTCTTCTTCCAGTAATTAGCTGCTTCTATGTTACATTAATACGATGATTATTATTCCTTAGATTGAGATAATGATGGCTACTCTCTCAGTAATGAACTCAAAAACTGGTTAAAAAGTAGCCAGAAGCCACTCACGGCAGGAATGCACAGTACTGAAAAGGCCAACACAACAGTCTTGGGCTGTATTGATCTAACGTGTTGTTACATTTCTAGTGAGGTCTGCATCAGATAACGGTTTAATTTCCCACCAAAGCATAAATCCCCAATAAGGGAGCAGCTTAAAGCAGCTACTTATTCTCTGAGGTTTTATTAAAACACCTTCGTTTTGGGTGTATGCCAACTACACTTTAAATTTCGCTGCAAAGCAGCAATGAACAAGCTGTTGGAAAAGGGTGAAACTGGCTAAATCCCTTTGTTGAACATGTGGTGTCGAACTCACCTTTCCTTCAACCTCAAAGAAGATCCCGTTTTCACTTTCTTTGACTTTAAAGGCATCTGAGAACATCTCATCACCTGTAGAAGGAAAAGGGAGGAAGGAACATATTACAACACTCCAAGCTAACATCATCATTTAAAAGAACAGAAGCAGCAGCAGAGGCTAAAAAGTTATCCACAATTTAAGGCTGAATCTTGTGCGATTAAAATAAAATGTGAGGCGTAGTGGCGGGGAAACACCAACAATGGCAAGTCTAGAAAAATCTGCCGGACAAAAATAAAACTGCAGCAGAGGGGGGGATGCTGAAAGGCCACATTCACCACGTTACTTTACCATGACGAACCCCAACAGGAATAGCCCCAACCCCCGGCAACTACCAAGCTACCTCACCGGTAACTGAGCCGGTGCTCTTTTAGACTTTTATAAAACTTTAATTGAGCCGAAGTGTGGGCAAAGCTAAAAGCTAACCGGCCACAATCACCGGCTAGCCTAACAGGGTGGCTAACTCCACATACTCTTCTGATTGAGTTAGCATCTGGCTAGCTAGCGCTAACTTCCGAACCATGACAACACGAGTTAGCTCGTTAGTGTGACCAACTCTCACCTATAACATCACAACCAACGTGAAATAACACACGCGACCGTCACGTTACCCGGTCAGCGTGAAAGAAGACACGTAAAAAGGTCACTCACCGCTGATAAGGTCCCTGTAGATGATCATTTTGCTGCTTCGGTGTTAATTCTTCCCAGAGACAGAGAGCAGGCCAACCGCCCAAACAGCACGGGAGAGGAAAAAGACCGATCAGGCCGTGAGGCGCTACATTTACATCCTGCTGACGTCACTGTGGGTCGGCTCCTGCTCCGGGTTCTGCCGCCACTTGTGGGTGCAGTGGTCAGACGTGGTACTACAGCTATTCTGAACTAGGAAATTCTGGATCATGAGAGCACAAAAGGGGCAGCTTGTAGAATCTGTTGCATGATCTGAAGCTCTTCTGAGGCTCTTTCTTTGAGATTTTCCCCATGTGACAACCTCCATGGTGGACAAATTCTCATTTCAAGAATCATCTTTACACAATCATTGAATATCAGTCGGCAATCGCCCCCAGGAACCATTAGTTGCTGGGGGAAGATGTGTGTTCCCTGACCAGTTTACAAGTTGTTCCTGGGGAGAATTAAGGGGTGCTGCAGCAAAAGCCTTTAGATTTCTTTTGTTGTTAGCAGTTACTGGTGTAGCTTGCATGAAAGACACCAACCTGAGGAATTGCAAGGAGGTTTTTGGTGTAGTACCATATTTGTTGCAGCCAGTTCTAACTAGCAATTGGCAGCAAACTACAACCATAGTTTTCAGGGGGGTTGCTTGTCTCTAGCCCTGTGTCACTGGGGCTTTATGTTTTGTGCATGACAGATTACAAAAATGCCCAAACTTCTTTTTAATGCTGCAATTATCTGACTAGCTTTATGGCTTAACTCAACACTCAACCATTGAGTCTAGAGTGGATCTTTTATATACAGGTTGTAGACCAGGGGTGGGCAATTCCAGGCCGACGGCCAGTGTCCTGCAGGTTTTAGATCTCACCTTGGGTCAACACACCTGAATCACATGATTAGTTCGTTACCAGGCCTCTGGAGAACTTCAGGACATGGTGAGGAGCTAATTTAGCCATTTAAATCAGCTGTGTTGGTTCAAGGACATCTAAAACCTGCAGGGACACCGGCCCTCGAGGCCTGGAGTTGCCCACCCCTGCTGTAGACAACTTAATGCACAGGTGTCGAACTCCAGGCCTCGAGGGCCGGTGTCCTGCAGGTTTTAGATGTCCTTGATCCAACACAGCTGATTTAAATGGCTAAATGACCTCCTCAACACGTCTTGAAGTTCTCCAGAAACCTGGTAATGAACTAATCATTTGATTCAGGTGTGTTGACCCAGGGTATTATCTAAAACCTGCAGGACACCGGCCCTCGAGGCCTGGAGTTCGACACCCCTGACTTAATGCAACTACTCGCTTTAAGGTTATACTACTTTAAGCTCTGAATTAAAAATACCAGTGGTAATGGAAAGAAAGAGTGCAAGTTTCCAGTTTCCAAATAGTTTGATGCTCATCCACGTTGTCACATTAAATACCTGAATGCAAAATCTTTTAAGTGGTGAAATAAAGTCCATAGAAGTCTAAAAATACCCCGAGTGAACCTGCAAACTGTATCAGAGCAAAATGAAGTCAACAAGGACAAGGCATAAAACCATCGATTATTCGTAAAGCAACTTTATTGTTTAATAATAAGCATATTTTGGTACAAGCGGCACCATTTCAGCCTTTATTTCTCTCAAACTATACATGAAATGGATCCCCTTTGTAAAATTCAAACCAGATTATCATTGAGCCACCACAAAGTGAGATTACTTCAGGTTGCATGGGCACATATGAAGTCCAATTACCTGCATTGTGGAATCAATTGAAACAGAAAAAAATCCTCTGGGCACCCAACAGTTAAAAGTACAGGGAGGCAGCATTTGGAGGAAAAGGCAGGGGAGCAGTGGCTTAAGACTTGTTCAAAAAGGGGGAAAAAAATACCAGAGTGGAGCTCATGGAGGGAACAACTGCATTGAAACAGAGCACATGCAAGACAAAAAGGAGGAACAAACATTTAGAAAAAGAAAAAAAAATAGTCCATGTACATTTATACACACAAAATACACACGAGAATTTATTGACAGATGATAAAGACGCAAGTGCAAAAGTTTACAACATTTGTTCCAAAAGCCTCCACTCCTTTACCAACTCACTTCTGTTTTTGTGAATGTGCCAGGACAGTGAAAGAATATCTAATTCAAGGCTACTGTGGACAAGTTTCTGTGACGAACAACTTAACCAGCAGCCCTTTGATCGGTGCCTTGTGACTAAAGATTCCGTTTTAGCAGGAATGTAAGTACTGCACAGGGTACACACTGCTCTCATCCAGAGTCTCAGCTGATCTTAACTTAATAACCTACACCAAGCCGTAAAGCTTCATCTTAACATTAAAACGCTACAGCTGTCCGCAGTCTGTGATGATGATCTTCTTTGTGGGATTGCCTGCCTTTGAGCCCAGCTCTCCCATCTGCTGCACCACATCCATGCCATCCCGAACCCAGCCAAAAGCCACATGTTTGAAGTCCAGGTGTTCGGCTTTCTTCAGGGTTATGAAGAACTGCGAGTTGTTGGTGTCGCGCCCGCGATTTGCCATTGACAGGATGCCCGGGCCTGTGTGCCGGACGTCAAAGTTCTCATCCTCAAACTTGTCGCCGTAAATGGACTTGCCTCCTGTGCCGTTATTCTTGGTAATGTCACCACCCTGAAAGACCAATGGAGCACTTGTTAGTGATGTTAGAGATTTTCTCCTGAAAGTTTTCTTTTAAACAACAGGACTGATTTGTCATGGCATCAATAAAATACTTCATACATCAAACTACAGAGCTGTGCTATGATTACAAACAGCAACCAGGGTGTATTTTTGTCAACCCAGAGTAAATTCCACTTTGTTGTAATCAAACAAGTTTTACATTCATCTGATCTTGAAAGTCCAAACCCTGATCTTTCCTCACCTGACACATGAAATCTGGTATGATCCTGTGGAAGATGGAGTCCCGCAGCCCGAAGCCTTTCTCACCAGTGCAGAGAGCTCTGAAGTTCTCTGCAGTTTTGGGTACAATATGTGAGAACAGCTCTATAGTGATTGTGCCCAGAGGTTGGCCATCAGCTGCCAGCTTGAGGAACACCCGTGGGTTAGTGTCTCTGGAGTGCTCCTGAATTCTGGACATCTGTGGCGAGCACAGAGACGAAGCATCACCATCAATTTGGCCCATCCGGTTCTGACACTCGCAGAAGGTCTTTTTGAAGGATTCGGCTATTTCAGGGGTTTTGAACTTGGCCGCCAGCTGCTCAATCACACCTTCGCCATCTGGATAAACAAAAAGGGGGCGAGGAGAAAGAGAGCAGGTGAAGAACAATCCACATGTTGCCTTAAGAAAAAAAACACATGCAAGTGGTTTAAAAATCCAAGATGAATGATTATTAGTGAGTATTTACAGACAAATCACACAAGGCAGCACAATACAACATCACATCGATGCTGTATGTATACCTGAGTAATCAGTGGCAGTCCAGATCAGTGCGTTTGCTGAGGCGTTCATGGGTTTGAGCTCCATCGCCTCTGAGATGTTGTGGTTGGCGCAAACCCGCAGCACCTGTTCTCTTCTCATCAGGATTCGGTAGAAATGTTTGGTTGGGTGGAAGAGGATCTTGATGTCACCGATGCCGCGCTCCTTCCACTGGCCGATATCCCGGTCCCATCGATACAGTTTGGCGCGCTCCTTGAACAGGATCTCCTCGTCCTCCTCTCCAGACTTTGTCTCCACCTGAGTGATAAATACAGTGATAAATACAATTTTATGGAAAATAAATACAAGTTTACTAATTGTACTAAAATGTTAGGGCTTAGCACATTTATGTACCTCGGGCAGAGATACTATGGGCTCAAAGTGAATGTCCACATTTTTAGGAGCTCCTTCTTCTTCATCACTTCCCTCCTCATCAGCATTGGTTTTAGGCTGAGAGGTCACTGCAGATCCAAACACTGTTGCTCCAGCATTTGCCCATGAGAAATTAGCATCTACATTTTTTTTTAAAGGGAAAATTAAAATAATTAGCAGTGAAACAAAACAACAGTCCAGATAAACAACTGAAGAAAATGTTTAATGTTAAAGCCAACCTTTTGATCCGAATGCAAATCCATCTGTATTTTTGGCCAACTCGGCAAAAGAAAAGCCAGATGCATTGAAGCCAAAGGTGGAGAGGTCTGCAGCCAGAAAAACAAAGACATTAAATACTTTAAAGCCTTTCCCCCCCATATCTGTCAAAGTTAAAAGGTTAATACAGGGATGACGTATTCTCTAAGGTCATGAAGCATATTAGAATCAAGCTGTGTTCAGAGTGATAAATGAAAATATCTGAAAAGATGGTACCATAATTATAACCTTCACAGGGGAAAAAAGCCTTTTTAAAATCATATTTTGGGGTAACTCATTTGAATAAGTCTTCATAATAACTCCCCAGAAACATTCTGAGTATAAAAGAAACCCTCAGCTGAAAATTCTGTCTGTGCAAAAATGTATTCAATATTTATCATCTAAACTAGCTCCTCATTTTAACATTTTTTTTCAAATTAAAGTTAAAAGTTGGAGCGAAAACCCATCAAGTATGTGGCTGAAGATGGAGAGTTATGTTTCATTTGAAAATACTTATGCCGTTTTTCACACTTTTTTACCTCCACTTGTTGTAGCAGTCAAAGATGCAGGTTTACTCTCAGTGTTGGACTCCAGCTCGACACTCTTCTTAGTTGAGAGGTCAATGGGAGAGCTGCTGCTTGGAGTTGCTGTGGTCTGTTTGTCTGCTGTAGATGTGCTGTCGGCAGCCTCTGCTCTGCTGGATGATGGCCCTGATGCTGGCATTTCAGGGGTCACAGCAGGACTGCTGGAGGCTTCGTTAGATTTGTCTAACTGAGCAACGTGATACACATTTCCAAATTAATAACATGTTCCAAATTAATACCCATCTTAAGATGTCTCTGAGTATTACTGACAGAGTAAAATAATTTAAAAAGTTAACATTTGTTTGTTTTTTTAAAAACAAAAGTTGAGTTCTCTGCTTGTATAATTTGAATTATCTATGTAAATTCGGAGCCATTACCAGGACTTCATGTACTTTGCGGACTTCTGTCTCAAAGTCCTCAGGCTTATCCTGGTCCGGGTCGCTGTCCGTGGTGCTCAGGCCACAGAAGAAGGTGGGTGGAAGCTGGAGGCTTTTGGCTTTTTTCTCCTCCTCTGGTGTTGGCTTCTTCTCCCAAACCACTTGACAGTCTGACTCTGAATGCAGCAAACAGCAAGTTTAGGCTCAAAATCAACATAACATTTATTAAGGTACACAAATTTTGGACTGTATGACTATAACAGATCGACATAAAAGCCTTTAACATAGTAGCAGAATTAAACCAAACCATTTGTCTTTTGAAAAATGAGTTGGATATAATAACATGTAACAGGGTTTAGACTACATACCATCACCACAAGCTGCAGCGTTCTTCTCAGGAGGATCAGGGTAGAGCTTTCCATTCAAGGCCTTCACTGCTGATTCGTAGTCTTCATCTGAAGTTTAAAACAAATGTTTCCTTTAATTATGTTTGCAAAGAAAATTATAGCGTTTGTTCAGACTTCAACCCACAATGAATTTTCAGATTTAAAACCAAAAAGGCATTACTGAACTTTGATGTCAAAGGAGAACCCCCCCCAAACAAACAAACAAACAAACAAGAAGTCCAATAAGTCCTTTCTTCGCTTTCTGAATGGGACAGTTACTAGTTTGTCTTATAAAAGCAGAAATTACAGTTTCAATTAATAAAATTTAAATAAAAATTCACTCCAAAAAACATGTTTTAATTAAGGTTAAGGTTCCACTTTGATATTTATGTCAGGACAGATGTATATCCTTATAGAGAAGTACCGTGCACTACTGCTACCTTGTGGCTCTAATAGCTCATTACATCATATGTGGGAGCAGTTCAAATATTCAAAACAAATTACCAATTATTAAAAAAGAGTCATGTACATCTCTTATACCACCCTTATTTCTCAAAACTGTCAAATAAGGTGACATTTACCAGTGCCAGCAGCACTTCGGCTGTCACATTCATTTTTGCACTGGATACATTTTTTGGGGTTCAAAAGAAAGGAATAAAATCTGAAAAGCTAACAAAAAATGTCTATATAGCATCTATGTGCTATATTGTTATTTTTAACACTGGTATCCATTTCTGTCCAAACCTTTAGCATTCTCACTTTCTTACATTGTCTCCTGGGAATGTTAACAATTCACAAATAAGCAGATTTATTTCAGCAAGTCATATGTACAACCGCTGATGTTCACTTTAACAAACCCTCGTTCCATATCTTGGGTCTCACCATCAGTTTCGTTATCACTGATGTAGCCTGGTTCATTCTTGTAGCAGAAGAAGGTGATGGGCAGCTGGAGCTTCCTAGCTAAAGCTGCCTGCTCAGCTGTGGGTTCTCTGACGTACACAATCTCCACCTCCGAATCCTCATCCGACCCAGCACTGCTTCCCTCTGCCTGAGGGGATCCTATGATAGATGGATATGATAGGAGTAAACAAGTCAGGCTGGGAAAGAACTGTTGGAAGACAGGCCAAAATGTAAAAATTGAAAGCCTTTGCAACCACAGGTGTTAATTACACACACACACACACACACACCCACACAAAATCATGCACAGCAAAACAGAACATCATGCATTTGATTTACAACAGTGAGACATGTTTTATAAGCAGAGTATTTCTGCATGGTCTCGTTTACACCACTTACTCTTGGACACATGGTATCGTAACGTTAAACAGCATAAATACCTGAGCTTTAACTCTAATTAGCCTTTGCTGAGGTAAACATCACTGCGAGAAATCAAACCAGATGAGGAATTACATTCCATGCTGTTGCTACAGACCCAGCACTAAAAATGGCACATGTGACGTTTGCACAGTACATTCCTCTCTAAAGCAACGCCCTTTGCTCTCAGCTCACCTTTCAGAAGACCTTTCTGCTGCTAGTCTAACTGCCCCACACTGCAATTGTGGCATTGCTGTACTCTTTAATTTGGCCTCTCTGGTATATACAGGACATGAAATGAAGCGCAGTGTAAGACCTTCAATCCAGACTGAAGACTCATATGAAAGAATAATATAAATATAAGTGAACATTTGTTTTTTGCCAAGTCAAATCAAAGAACCTACATGTTTCCCTTTTGTACAGATTGTCTATAAGAGATGGATGTAGCCACCATGAAGTCATTGACCAGTTTGTAAAGCTTTGAGTTGAGGTCCACACTTCTCTCCAAGTTGAGAAGTGTGGATCCAGCCATGATGCCACCCATTTGTTAAAGCCTCGAGCTGAGGACTTTCATTATCTAGGTGTTTTAAAGCTGTATGTGACAAAACAAGGATTTGATCTGGCTGCAAACCTGAATGCTCACTGGTCAACAATTTGTGGTTGACAGCTTTTTAATTGTGGTTAACCCTGCTCCAAAATTGAGTTAATGTTATAATTAGTATAATCTGATACTAGCAACTGAGCCCATAAAGGCATCAGGAAAGTGATTTTCTATTCAACCCCAAATCATTTTGAAACTACTGGGCGCCCCCTGGTGGCCACTAAATAGAAATCTGTAATGTTCTGTGTTGAAGTTGCTTTTAAGAAACGTCCATCTTTTATACCGACTCACACAATTTGTACAAGTGCCTATACTTCACTGACATTTGGTCAAAAAAAAAAAAAAAAAAAAAAGCTGCTTGCCTGTTCCTGTTTTGACACCCCTTAACGTAGACCAATTTCCAGATTGAATATATGAAACGTGACGTTCAATGAGGCTAAAAACTAGCGACTGAGATCTTCAAGAAATTACTTACTGATGTCATAGATCAAGGGAGTGGTTGTAATTTTCCCATTCAGGTCTACACAATCTAAATTCTTTCCGCAACCAGAATAGTTGCCCCCTCCTGGTCAATCTAAACAGTGCAGTTACATTTCAGCTTCACCCTTCAGACACAGGGGCTACCTCTATCTTTCATCTACTTTCAGCTAATATAAACAAAACTGCGAGCCACACTATGAAAATGACACTCAAATGAAAAGATTGTTACATTTAATTCCAAGTTTTATTTTTTCCCTTAAATATTTCAGTGCTTTAAACACCATTTCCATGATGATTCAGATGAAATCAGATTAAATATTTTCTGCTTTTTTGCATTACTTGCGTGCAAAACTGTTTAATCTTGTGATACAAGTGCTACTTAAAGAACTACAATTAAAATTACTGAACAATAAAAACTGCACCTTCACACACTTGGCATGCAACACATTAGCTTGACCGTTTTGCTTTTTTTCCCCCCTCCACTCCGTGCATCCAGGTTATTTCTTTGTAGTAGTAAGGGCCAGTCACGTGACAGCTGAGAAGTGTTAACACACACTGCAGTGATTAGAGTACCTGGGGGTTCAAATTGGGTGGTTGATGAGCTGGTCCAAAAAGCCATTGGGTTATCTTTGAAAAGCCTAAAATCCAGCCCTAAAGGATGGTGGGTTGTTGAGTGAAGAGAGACTAATTGTGAGGCTGGTGTCAATCAGAAAATGCCAAAATTGACTGAAAAATGTGAAATACTGTAGCTGTGCAATGATTGATTTGATAACAATGTTATTAACCCTATGGATATGTAAAATATGTGCAGTATAGTCATGTTTTTTGTCTCTAAAACTTCCACTAAATGTGCATGTTGCAAAACAAATATAAAAGGGGAGCATGTCGACGGAGGAAATACACGTTGTGTTCCAGTTAAAAATGAAAGGTGTGGGCAATGATGAAGCAGTGAGATGCAGATGAAATAGGACGATCGGGTAAAAATGAAATGAACTGAAACTGTTGAGATACTCATTCAAAAGTAATGCAAATATAATTCAGACCTCCCTTTTTTATTCTTACCTTTCTCTGGGATTTTGAATGCAGGAACTTGAAGTGAAGTCTTGGCAGTATAACCAGAGTCGTTGGCTTTCAAACCAGATGCTGTAGATTGCTCAGGTTCAGAATGAGATTTAGGAGAGCCAAAAATCTTCTGAAGGGTATCAGTGCCAAAAACAAACTTTGGGGGAGACACCACAGTCTTTCCGGGATTGACAGGACTGTGTGACGCAGATGCATTTGATCCAGTGTCTGTAGGAAGCTCAGTACGTTCCTTAGTTGTCTCTTCAAGAACGGCAATGGCTGCTTTGCCACATACAGCTGGAGTGGTCTTTGCAGATCCTGGTGTTCCACTGTCTTGTGGTGCAACCACTCTAGATGTCACTGGAGTCATGAGTTCTTTTTTTCCCTGAGAAACATTGGCTTCCTCAAAGACTTGTTTGAATGTATTTGCGGTTTCTTGCAGCTTGAATCTCACAGCCAGCTGCTCAAGCTTGCCCTCTCCTTCCTCAGCAAAGTCCAAAGCACTCCAGACCCAGGCCTTCTCTGCACCCTTCATAGGTTCCAGCTTCATGATTGGACTAATCCAGTGGTTGGCACAGATCTTCAGCACCTGATCCCTTCTCATTACCAACCTCGCTCGTTTGTTGTTATAATTCTGCAAGATCTTGAGGTCTCCAATTCCTCTCTCCTTCCACTGTTTTGACTCTTTATCATAGCGATATAGTTTGGCTCTGTGACTGAAGACCACCTGCTCATTTTCCTCTCCTGTAGAAGTCTCCACCAAATCTGGCAAGGGGACCACAGGTTCAAAGTACTGGCCGTCCCGCTCTTCATCCTGGGTGACATCCTGCTCATCATCAGTACCCACTGAAGCTCTGCTCTGGTTGAGCTTAGCAGGAGACTTTGAGGGGCTGATGCCAGGTTGAAAGCTAAAGCTGAACCCACCAGTGGATTCCCCGAAGCGGAATAGGTTCTTTCTCAGGGGGCTGCTGGCAAGAGGGGAGGCATAGACGGACGAGTCAGCCGTGTCATCTAAAGCATCTTCTCTGAGGTCGTAGTTGTCCCACTCCAAGGTAGGGCCGGTGGTGTCACCTTGGGGCTTGATTACAAGGCTTGAAATGTCACCAGCTGTTGCAATATCTCCCTGTGTGTCATTGTCTTTTATCTTTGTTTTCTCGTCAGTCAAAAATGATTTCAGGTCTTTCAAACCAGACTTCATTTCCTCTGCCTTCTGAATGAGGTGTGCTGTTCTACCTGTGTCAACCAGCTTGTGGGGGGTTTGTAAAGGGATGTCCAAGAGAAGCCTCTGACACTCTTCAAACTTTTCCTTAAACTCCTGAGCAAGCTCAGGGCTTTTAAACTTGGCAGCTAACTGTTCGAGTTTAGCATCTCCATCAGAGAAGTCATTGGCCAACCAAATCCAGGCTTTGTCTGAGCCTGCCAGGGGTTTAAGGTTCATGGTGGTGGTGATCCAGTGGTTGGCACAAACCTTGAGAACTTGTTCCCTTCTCATCAGCACCCTTAGCCGACCATTTGTAGTGTTTTTCAGGAATTTGAGAACTCCCACACCACGCTCTTTCCATTGACTGGTACCCACATCAAATCTAAACAGTTTGACACGCTGGGAGTAAAGAACCTGTTCATCCTCCTCCCCAGTTACCAGGTCCACCTTCTCAGGCATCTGGATCACTGGTTCAAACTGGATGTCATCATTTTCCTCTGTTTTATACATATCATCATCCTCCAGTTCATTTGAGGCTTCTGTCTTGGTGGGGGTTGCTTGGAATGATGTGAACAACTGCTCACCAGCTCCAGAAAAACCTTTGAATTCTGGATCTTTTGTGCCAAACTGAAAGTTTCCTCCAGCAGATTTAGCCAAGTCTGCAAAACTGAACGTATTTGCTTTTCCAGATATTAATGGATTTTGTTCTTCCTCTGTTTCCTCTACTGAGGGTGTAGAAACAGTTTCTTTCTCCTTGTGCTTGTCAGCTATACTTTTGAGCATACTGGAGGCTGACCCAGTTTGAGTCTGATTATCATTTGAAGGGGATTCTTTTGGAGGGTCTTGAACACCAAACTTGAAGCCACCAGGCCCAATGGGCATTGAAAAAGAGAAGCTTGACGAACTGATTGTACTAGATCCAGTCTGGGGAGCTTCAAATTTGAAAGAAGCAGGTGAGCTTTTATCTTTGCTCTGACCAAACTGAAAGGTGCCCCCACTTACAAAAGGTATTGTAAATCCAGTTCCAGCAGGCTGACTTGACGAACTCTTTGTTCCAAAGGTAAATTTTGAGGAGGACGATGAGGAACTAGTGCTGCTTGTGCTTTTAGCGTTAGGATTTAGGGTCTGACAGGACACACATTTATCAGCAGAGGCTTCGTTTCTCACGAGACAAGTGTTGCAGTCCCATTCTCCATCCTTCTTACCAAATCTAGCTGCTAAAGATGCATTCTCATTTGGAGCTTTGCAGGAAACACATTCAGCAGCTGATGCATCATTTCTGACCAGACAGGCATTGCAATCCCACTGCCCATCTTTCTTTGCAAAATCAGCTTGTGGTCCCGACACTGTTGGAAGATTTGACCCTAATGAAGCCCCCTCTGTTGGCTTAGCAGCAGGGTTTGGACTTCCACAGGATACACATTTACCAGCAGAGGCTTCATTTCTTACTTCACACACATCACAATCCCACTGTCCAGGCTTCTTACTAAACTTGGCAGCAACCCCAACAGAGTCAACACTGGACAGAACGGGTTGTGCTGCAGGTGCACCAGCAGCTGGTGCAGCTTGTGCTGCGGCAGCTGTTTTAGCCGAGGGTTTAAGAGCTTTGCAAGAAACACAACTGTCTACATTAGCCTCATTTTTTATAGAACATGATTCACAGTCCCACTGCCCTGGTTTGCTGGTAAGTAGGGCTCCAAAGCCACCAAATGTACTGGAACCAGTGTCTGCAGGTTTTGAGGAGCTGAGACCGAATGTGAATGAAGAGGCTACAGAAGATCCAAAACCACCAAATCCAGTAAATGTGGAGCCAGAACTACTTGGTTTTGCTGAATCAGTGCCAAATTTGAACGTAAAAGAACTAGGTTTAACTTCCCCAGCAGCCTGAATGTCTGGCTTTGAAGAGGCATTGGGATTAGGGCTTTGACAGGATACACACCGTACATCTGTGGGTTTATTTCTTACACAGCACACAGAGCATTCCCATTCTCCTTCTTTCAGTGCAAACTGGGCTGCAATCGATTCAGAATCTTTCACGTTTTTTTCTTTCCTCTCCTGTTGATTTGTCTTGTCAAGTGATTTGAGTACAATCTTCTGGGCTTCCTCAAACTTGGCTTTGAAAAGTGCTGCCTCATCTACAGTTTTGAAACGGATGGCCAGCTGTTCAGGTTTAGGCTCCTCATCTGCATAATCAATAGCATTCCATACCCAAGATTTATCAGAGCCGGCATTTGGTTTCAACAACATATCAGGTGTTATGTAGTGATTTGCACAGATCTTAAGGACCTGTTCCCTTCTCATTAAGAGGCGGACCTTGCCTTTAGTGCTGTGTTTTAAGATTTTAACATTGCCGATGCCCCGTTCCTTCCACTCTTTTGCCTCTGTGTCAAATCGATACAATTTTGCCCTTGTGCAGAAAATCTCTTCCTCTTCTTCCTCACCTGTTTTCACATCTACCTTATCGGGAAGAGGGACAATAGGTTCAAAGTGAGGCCCATCTTCATCCTCCTCAGCATGAGTACTATCATTGTCACTCTCCACTGCCCGTTCCTGCTCTGCTGTAGGCTTTGACATTCCAAACGCTGGCTTGGACATGTCCCCAAATTGAAATGGTTGATCCACTTTCCCAAACAGGCCTCCAGTGGCTGTGCTCTGTGCAGAATCAACAAATGAAAAGCTGGTAACATTTTTGTTTCCAAAGGTGAAGATGCCCGTTTGGGTGGTGGGCTGCTCCTGAGTTTGTGGTTTCTCTGGAACGGTGTCTGTTTTACTGGGAATGTCTGATGTGAGAAGGCCAAGCAAACTTTCACTGTGCTTATTTTGAGAAGCTGAGAATGTAAAATCACCATCATTGGATTTAAAATTGGAGTTGAATTTAAAAGCAGGTGAGGGTGTTGACTGGGCAGTTACACCTGTACCAAAACTAGGCACTCTGGGGACTTCAGCGGGTGCCTGCTGGCTGAAGGAGAGCTTTCCAAAGTCCATGGGCTTTCCCTCAATGTTCTTTGGTTGTTGAACTGGGACTACAGGTGGCTTGGTGAAATAGCCAGGTTCAGGTAAGGTAGGGTTACTGGTTTGTTGGGTAACACTCTGGCCATAAAAATCTTCACCATAGGGTGAAAGAAGACTTGTGGCTGGTGATTCAAACCGCAGAGGTGCACCAAAGACTTGTTCTTGAGGAGGGTAGATGCAGGCTGGGGCTGTCTGCAGTGGAGGTGTATGCGTGGGCTGCTGGTAGGCATACATATGCTGCTGAGGTGGCATGCGGTTTACGCCATACATTGGGGTCTGTGTGAAGATAGAATAAAAATAAACTTACAAACTCCATTTTTTAAAGCATTAAAGCTTGTTCAGCATTAAAATGATGATTACCTTGGTGGGGGTTACATTTGCTGCTGTGCGCAAGAGATACTGAGAGTTGTAAGCTTGTGACTGATTGTAGTACACAGAGGGGCCTGTGGTGGCAACTTAAAAAACGAAAGAAAGAAAAGACATCCAAAAATGTTTTATGTCACTCAACTGCTTTGGTAAAGATGACCAAGTAAATTAAATCTTGTGTTTAAATATACAATTAATCATGTTTCAGATCCGCGTATCATACTGACCTGTTAGGGGGGCTCCATGATAGGACTGAACCGGGGTAAATGGTTCCTGCAGACCCTCAGCCCCGTAAGTCTCGCCATACATTTTATGGTGAGGAGAAACTGTAGTGCCTGATGAGTTGTGTCTCAGATCATGAACCTCGTTCTGTAAAACAGGAGCATCATGTGAACTCAATCTGAAATGTATTGATTTAATCCAAACTGAAAGTAACACAACAAGTAACAGTGATCACTGTTTAAAAACAAGGGACAAAGTTACAAAATATTATCTTAAAAATGAATTCTGACCTTAAGGGCTTCTACTTGCTGACACAACATCTGAAGAAGACTCTTCTGGTCCTCCACCCAATGAGGTTGTGTTTTGGGAGAAATCTAAACAAGGGATGTGAATGAATTATAAAGAGTAATTGTCTTTTGTGTTTGACTGAAAACACAAAAACTGAGTCATTTAAATAAATAACAATATGGACCTACCAGTCTTTTTGAAGGAGAAACAATGCTTTTGTTTGGAGAGGGAGTGGAGAACTTAATGTGGGATATGGTTGCACTAGTTTCGCCGAGATGAGCAGGGCTGGAGTGGGCTGGTCCTCTTAGGCCCCCCTCTTCCTTCTCATCCTCTTCATCCATGACCTCCCCGTTCTCCCCCAGCTGCTGGTTCACATCATTTAGGAGGTCCACAACTTCCTCCATAGACACAGGCAGCTGGGAAAGAAAAACTTAAGACTTTAATTTCACACTGCTTCTACTTTAACCAAAAACACACCAACCCCAAAACAAAATAAAGTGTCACAAGTTAAACATCAGTCGTACAAATTTATAGTTTTTGTTTTTTGATTCTTCCATATTGGGACTTACCTTTTCAATGTCATCTGCATTGGCGCTGTAGATCTTTGACAGGTATGCCCTGAACTTTCTCAAGAACATGATGCACCTATCTTGAGTCTCCTCAACACCGTTGCTGGCCTCTTCTGACAGCCGCTGATAGATCTGCCAAAAAATAAATTATAAAATCACTATACACTCTATATAACACCTCTACAAGTGTTAGAACCACTAACTTGAAACATCTGAAACCACATAACAGTGGCTGTATGAGGTTTAATAGTTAATATTATTTGAAAATCTGGTTTTTAAATCTTTTGTTTTTGTGTCCAAGTCTATCTCTTAAATGTGTCTTTAAAAACAAAAAAACAAAACCAAAACCAAACAAAAACCATAGTACCCAAGTGCTTCTTGTGGTGTGAACAATAAATCCAGGTATATATTTTTTATGCTTACCTGAGCTAAATGCCAGATGGAGGACATGTTATTGATGCTTTCCAAGGTAGAAATGGCCTCCTCTGTTTTCCCTTCAATGTCAAGAAGAACTGCATATGCTATCCTTGCTTCCTCTTCATAACTTTTCACAGAAGAAATCTGAAAGGAACACAAAACATAAATTTATGAACCAACGTGGTACATCTTGGTGGCAAATCCTTCAATATAAAAATAACTTCTATTAATGTGAGGACATAAAATTTGCTATGGTTAGTTTTTGTGAGATTTCTACAGACCCAATGAGGTGAAGTGCTGACCTAAAATCCTTTACTGAAACTCACACAAACCTTTCTGACCTGACACTTCTGGATTAAATGCAAATGAAAGCATTTCACTACAATATGTCACCATAGCAAGATCATTAAACAAAGAGGTAAACTCAAACTGATTTTCAGGTATAGCTGAAAGTGTCAAGGTCTTTAGGGACTAAACCTGAGGCTAAACATGACAACTCTACTTGGATGCAAAAAGAACTGAGAACATTATTAACCTGAATATCTTTGGAGGGAAAGTGTATAAAGAGAGGGTCAAGAGGTTCTGGTATACTGCGTCTGTTTTTGATCTTCTCCAGCAGTGGAAGGGCAACTTTCCAGTAGTGGACACTGCGGCCAATGTACTCCTTCTGGTCATAGTAGGAGTTCACTCCATCCCCCTGGTTATTAAAAAACAAACAAAAAAATAAAAAAAACCCACACAGAGATTGAGTCTGGCACAGGAGCAGAATGGTACACAGAAGCTTTTTGTCACAACTCATTTCTTAGTGGTTTTAAATCCAGCAGACACACAGCCAAAGAAGTGGCACATGTGGCTGTTTGGACATCTTGCACTTAATTCTGTTTAGCAGCTGCAGACTGAGTGACAGAAAGGAGCAGGTGTGAAAGCCGAGAGAGCTCCGAGTTACCTACATGCTTTTAACTGTCAGTGCAGCTTGTGACTGTAGATGACTGCTGTCTTTTTAAAGCATATGGACTTACTTATTAATAAAGTAAGTATTAAATAAAGGAAGTTGATGACATTCATGCAGCACAGTATATGAATGATGACCAGAATATGCTGGTTTTCCCATTATAAGCTACAATACAAAAAGGTACAAGGGACTTTCTAAATGCCTTATTTTATAAAAAAAGCATTCAAAAAGAGATACATTAGAATTTTAATCACTTTACCATCCGGCAACTCACTGAGTTTAAGCAAACAGTGTATGCATGTGTGTGTGTTTCTGTACCGTCTGGCTAAGACAGTGAGCCCAGTGGATGACCAGTGCTGGTTGAAGCCCATGTTTTTCTCCAGCTCTCAATGTGCTCAGCCCATGCTGCACAATCATTCGTAGCTTTCCTGACACACCAGGTCTGCAAAGCAAAAGGCCACACATCAAAAACACTGAATATATGAACATTGCCAATAATGGGACTATAAATTAATTGCAGTTAAATGTTAATGTACTGTTTTGATAGGTTCATATCACTTATTGAAATGAAATGAGGTTTTAGAAATGTATTTTTTAAATGAGTTTAGCCCTGTTAAGTACAGTTTTCTAAGATTTAAAACAGACTACAGATAATGACCACTGATATGAACCATTTTGGGGAAATACTGAGGGAAAAAAATGGCTAAATCCATCAAAAAACAATTTGAAAACCAGAATAGAGAGTTGTTATGCAATTATATAAATCACAGAGCTAAACATACAGGAACAAGACAACACCAATTTGAAACAAACTAGATTCAAATCGGGAGAGATCCTCAAAATAGTGTTTAAATCAGTTTAAGTAAACACAACAATAACCAATCATATCCCTTTTGCTCCATTTGGCTCTCGACAGCACTAGTACTCACGCTGCTCGCTTGTGAATGAGGCTGTAGATGGCATCCCACCACTCCCTCTGTCTGTCAGTGGTCAAGAGGCGGAGGAGAGGAAGAGGGAGGCAACGAGGCTCAAAGAGCTGTTGTTGTGACTGATTGACTCCAGCATTGATCTTTGCCATCCTCTGAAGCTGACAGTGGCTACAGAACACCACACCATATAGAAACACCTTGATGGAGCAAACACGAGAGAAACAAAACTTTAATACTGAAAGAAATACCAGAACAAAACTGTGTTTATAAATTAAAAGCAGTGCTGTTGGCCTGTCGAAGTTTCATTTTACTTCATTCTGTCTCCTAAGACTTTTCCACAGCCTGCTGTAAGTAAAGTGCCAACATAAGTTCATGAAAATGAACCAAAATGCAACAGGAAAAACTCCAGAAGTCCAAGATCCAGATTTTCATTGAAGTAAAACTTTTTATCTATTCATACATTTTTCTGTGCTTTAGCCAGGAGGAAGTTTACAGAGTATGTTAGACCAGTACACACAGAGCAGGAGCAGCACCACCTTACCTCTAGGTCCAGCAGGCAGATTGACTCTGGCGCATTGGTATCTAGTTTAGAGGTTTCCAGCATAAGCCGAGGAAAGAGCTGCTGCAACCATTCCCGCAGCGGTGGTCTTTGGTCCAGAAAGTTCCACTGGAGTCCCAACCAGCTCAGATGTTGCAACTGACCACTGTGGAGCAAGATGGAGCCTAAAGAGAAAGCAGCAAAGTTATTATACTAGTCACTACTAAATGCTTCTTTAACTTCAGGGGAAAACAAACAGAACTGTTTTTTTTCGTATTCAGGTAGCTAACTGGTTCGTACCAGTGTCCCATTTGGCCATTTGAGAGAGCTCTGGAGCCATGGCAGTAAGGGAATGAATGTCATCATTGGCGATAAAAGATAATCCAGCAGAGGCCTGCGGACCCCGCAGGAGGTTAAACAGGGAGTCCTGACCACTCCGGTTTCCGAAAGCTTCCACCACCTACCAAGAGAAAAATAATTAAACAAATAATATAATTAAACACTGACGCACGAATGATTGATGTTCATGTTGACATAGGAACACTTCAGTGAGAATCATGTGAAATCACGTATAACCAAGGTCAGACCTCACTGATCAAGGCAGATGAATCTGTACTCAGATTGAACAACATGTGGCCGGCCTGGCTCTGTCGGTCATTCGCCAGCAGCTCCAGAAGCTGTGGGGCAGTCTGATCTCTTTTGGTCACTTTTGTCTTTGGTCTGGGGACCTGGAGGAAAAACTTTAATTAAAACAAACAAAAACAAAACTGCATAGCGTTCACTGAAAGACCACGACTAGGTCCCGAACAAGTTCATAGAACTGTTCAGTCCTTTACCCTTTGCAAGTCAGGCAAAAAAAAAAAGGTAAAAGGGACAGCACAGTTGCACGATGGTACAACTACTGGAATATATTTAAAGTAATGACAACATAAGTAAATAAGTAAATGAATCTGCTCATTTGGTGTGTCACTACCTGATATGCCAGTAGGTAGCACAGTGCAGCCAGGTCACGAACAGCCCTCCAGGTTTGTTGGCGATCCTGAGCCAGCTTAAGCAGCAGCGTGCCTGCATGCAGGTAGAGGTGCCCTCTCATCTCCACAAACACCTCAAGGAGCTCGTCTGCACTGTGGCCTGCAACGCTGCTCACTTCCTGCATAGCTTGGTCAAACCTACAAGCACAATGCAGATGAACAGTTTACAAAAAGGTTGGAATGCTAAAAACACAACTAACAACAACAATGTTAGCCTTTGTTGAAACAGCTGCAACAATTTGCCTTTTTGACTTGTAAATAGTCTTATTTGCTTCTCTTTCCTGTAGATCAGGTGCAAACAACGCCTAACACAACGACAAAACAACCTGTTACACCTAAACAGACTGAACTTTTACTAAAGACCAGAACTTAATGTGATTCAATTACATTTTATGAGGTTGGCAAGTTTTTCTGACATCAGTAATGTTTGAGGAAAAGAATCTGAATGTTAACTTTTAACTATATAACTTTGGGTTTTTTTAAACTTTACTACAAGGACACGTGGTCACCAGAATACATGGGAGAAATTAGGTTGTAAATTACTCCTTAATTTAAAAAACAAAACAAAACAAGCCTCAGATTTTAGTCCAGTTCTCTTGAACAATCCAGGACCCGACTTACTCTCTAAGTGCATCTACACTTGGCTGCACGCTGCTTTCAGATAGTGTGATTCTCAGCAGGCTGCAGCGGGCCAACAACAGCTCTCTCTGAATACATCGACTCATCTTCTCATTGCTGAGCTGATCCAGGTACTCCTGAAACAAAGGTCATCCATTCTTTAGAAAAGTTTATGCACTTATAAAGGTGGGAGGATGAGTATAAGGCCCAAAATAGAAGTACTTAAAGCATACTGGTCCTGCCTATTCAGGTACACTTTAATTTAGCAGGACACTAGTGCAAAGTCCATACTAACCTTCAGTGTGCACACCACCTCAGTGTACCAGTCCAGACTGTTGCGCAGCATGGCTCTTTTCTCAGCAGCCAGGCAGTGTTTAACAGCCTCTTCCAGCCGGCCATCCTGACGGAACAGCTGAACCAACTTCACGTTCACGTGGGCGTCAGCCGGCCGCGCTGCCAGCTCGGTCTGAAGGAGGTCGAACAACTGGTTCCAACCCTGCTGACCCTGACGACTCAACAGGCGCTCCTAAAAGCAGCAGTGGCAATGAACAGAAGACATTCAGTGTGGCATTCTTTCTACTTTTAATTAAGTTGTACCCTCTTCTTGGACTGTTTTTGTAAACCTAAATGACATTAAAACTCCCACTCATGAAACTGGAAATTTTAATTTAAGAATATTAAGCAAAGTGATGGACGGATCAGGCTGTGAAGTAGACAACAGTTTGTTAAACAACCTAAAATAGTGGGATCAAATGACTTCACAGCTGACAAAGGCAATGTTTAGTGGATGTTACTGGAGCTAAAGAAGAAAGGAGGAGCTTCACCTTAAGGTTGAAAACCGCTGGGTTTCCTGGTAGCAACTTTGCAGCTTTCTCCACCCAAAACTCTGCCCTGCTGTCACACTCCTGCTTACTGACAAGCAGCTCTGCAACCTTCAGCACCAGGTCTTTCTGGGCTGGATTCAAATCCACCGACCGCTGCAATAAAAGCAAAAAACATTGAGTCTGAAGCTGAACATATGCATCAAAAGCTCTGTCAGTTTTCTCTCTCTCCCTGCTTTATGCTAAGGAATTAAAAACTGATCACCTCCTCTTCTTTCTCACACGGTGCTGATTATTAATTTCTTTATTACAGCAGCAACTGGAGCCGTTTACGTCCAAGTAACAGGTTGCACTACAGTCAGCCAACTGTGCATAAAAAACTGTGTTTTAAGTGGGCCATTTTCACCTCCCACAGGTGGACAGAGCACAGCTTGAGTGCATTTAAAAAGATTGGAAATGTACAGCAATTATATAGCTGATAGTGTTTTGATGAGTCTCAGCACTGACTGAATCACTTTGTTTCAGCTCATTAACTGAGAACCAGCTTCATTACAGTACACATCAGTTTTAGTGTTCAGGTGCGAATGAATCAGTAAAAAACTCCCTCAAGGTGAGTTTAATGTTCTTAAAAGTTACTGCTACAAGAAGGGAGAGCAAATAAATCACAGTTTATTTTTCTCAATTTTCTGTCATCATTCATCTTCTAGATTTGATGCTATAGCAATAAAACCTAACAGTGCCTTTGGGAAGCTGATTATTGATTCCCGAATGTCAGAGAGAGCTTGGTGATTCATCTTTTAAAAAGTAAAACAACAAAGAGCATTTAGCATTCAGTTTGATAGACTACCCAGTGCATTTAAAAAAAAAGAAAAAGAAAAAAGAATCACACACCAAAAGGCAGACAGAAATCACATCTAAAGCCTTGTTGTTTGCTGTGGGAAATTACCCATAGTAACAAAGAGGATACTTATTTTTAACTTTTTTTTTTATATTCATTCATCACAACTAACCAAATTTATTCAAAGTGCATGTGGGTATTTTCCCTTTCGTGTCCAGGTAAATATATACGAGTTTGGCTGGTCCATTTAAATTGGTGTGAGCATGAATCAGCAGTTGCACCGACAGCACTTATAGAGCAGTTTTTAAACCCACACACATATTCACTTATGTACATAGACAACTGGAGGAATTTTAGGTCAATCGTCTTTCTGATTTCTCAAACAAAAGGAAGCTGAATCTGAAAATCAAAGATTGTAACTGACAGCAAATACAGGGTTTGTGGAAGCTGTTCATCATTTTGTCCTTTAAACAATGTTTCCTCATTTCATACCTGAATCTTATGATTTCTTAAACCACATTCTGACACACCTTTAAAGGGAGAAATGCTTCCACTAAGATGTTCTTTTTACCTTGTAACATCCAACTGCTTTGTTGATATCTCCCTCTCTCTCGTAGAGCTGTCCAAGGAACTTGTGTGCTTTAGGATCCCTCTCTTGGACCTTGAGATAGTCTGACACATGCCTAGGAAAAGCATGAAAGACAGGAATTACAAACAATATAGCGACACACAAGCATTGGGTCAAAACAATGGAGAGGCTCACATGCTTACCTTTTTGCAAGATCATATTCCTTTGCTTCAAAGTACAATTTAGCAAATAAAAACCCTTTGACTGGCTTCTGTGGAGAGAAAAAAAAAAAATATGTGGACCAGGATGAGGAAATGGATTCATCTTGTTATGATAGTGAGAAGATGCAATTACACATGTCCTGAAGAGTTATCTGGCTTACTGGGATTTAAATACTCACCAGTACTCAGTACCTGCTTAGTAACAATACCCAAACCCAAAGGCCCATTTTTAGCCATAAAAAATAAAAATAAAAAAATCCTGCAGACGGAGTTGCCAATGCCTAGTTAATCATGCACATCCATAATTTTTATAGATGGTTCAAGTAGTTTGTGAAGTGGGAATACATCAGAATAGTGAAAGATACTTTTGTTCATTATCCAGTTTTGATCAAGTGATCAGCTTTGTGGTATTACACACCCCACCCCCGCAAAAAGAAGAAAAAGAAAAACAAACAAACAACCAAAACATCTTTTATCCTGAGGAATTAACTAAATTGTAGTTTTGGGAAATTATTCCTCCCAGGGGCTAAAGTTAGTAACATCTTAGCCATCGTGATTACAGCATTACCCATTGTCAGATTTACTGCTAGCTTCTCCTACCCACCACACTACAACTATTATCATTAGGGCTGGGGCATATCATACCGTTCACGGTAATACCGGTATAATTTTGGGCAACGATAGAAAAATGAAATATCGCGATAGAATATGGGTAAAACGCGCATGCGCAGTGCCTTTGTTTTCATACGCACAC